CTTTCAGTTACTGAGAGATGAGTGTTAAAACACTCTAATATTGTGGACTTATCTTTTTCTCCTTGTACTTGGACAATTTTTGCTTCGTGTATCTTCAAATGCTATTATTAGGTACATTCAGATGTCTTCTTGAAAAATTGATTCTTATATCATTATGACATGACTCTTTATCTCTGTTAATACTCCTTGATTTGAAATCTGTTTTGTCTGGGATACTAATATAGCCATACTAACTATTTTTTTGTAATTTTCTTTCAAACTATTTGTGTCTTTTTTGTTTTTTAATTTAATTTTATTATTTATTTTTGGCTGCATTGGGTCTTCGTTGCTGCGCGCAGGCTTTCTCTAGTTGCGGTAAGTGGGGGCTACTCTTTGTTGCAGTGCACGGGCTCCTCATTGCTGTGGCTTGTCTTTGTTGTGGAGCATGGGCTCTAGGTGCGTGAGCTTCAGTAGTTGTGGCATGTGGGCTCAGTAGTTGCAGCTCGTGGGCTCTAAAGTGTAGTCTCAGTAGTTGTGGTACATGGGCTTAGTTGCTCCGCGGCATGTGGGACCTTCCCCTACCAGGCCTTGAACCTGTGGCCCTTGCATTGTCAGGCGGGTTCTTAACTACTGCGCCACCAGGGAAGTCCCTCAAACTATCCGTGTCTTTATGTTTAAAGAGAGTCTCTTCCAAATCATATAGAGTTGAGTCTTGATTTTTTTATCCAGTTTGACAATCTTTTATTGAAACGTTTAATCCATTTACATTTCATATATTACTGTAATTATTGATATAGTTGTCTTCTGGGCCTACATACTGTTTTGTTTTTATTTTTCTGTTTGGGTTCGTTGAGCTTTATGTTGTTTTTCATCAAATTTGGAAAATATTTTTCGCCAGTATGTTGTCAAGTTTTTTTTTTTCCTGCCCCATTCTCTCTCTCTGTTTCTTTTGGGACTTCAATTACACCTTTGTTATTGAGGTTCTGTTAATTTTTTCCCCTAATTTTTTCTCTCTGTGTTTTGTTTGCTAATTTCAATATCTGGGTCATCTGTGGGTATGTTCCTATTAACTGATATGTTTCTATTAACTGATTATGCTCTTTAGCATAAGTTACATTTTCCTCTTAATTTGCGTATCATTTAATTTTTTATTGTGTAGTGGACATTGTGATTGATACCTTGTAGAGACTCTGGTTTCTGTTATCTTCCATTGAAGAGAAAGCAGATAGTTAAATTATTGGCAAATTACCTTGACATGATAGAGAGGCTTGGTTTAGGCTTTGCTAGGGAAGGTCTATTTTGCTTTTGTTCTTAGTCCTAGGGGAAGTCTTACAGACCTGAAGTATGGTCTTTACTCCTAAAGCATCACCCTTTTGGCGTTTCAGTGGGATGCTTGAAGTATTTACCAAGCCCCTCCAGTTTGGTGGAACTTAAACTCCAAACTCTTCCCTGTGGTAGACAGCTGCCAAAGTCTCTGTTCATTCTTGCCATTTTTCCTCAGTTCCTTGGAGCCTCACCCTAGATATACATAGTAAGGGGTTGGCCAAGGATTTAAGGAGGGTATATGCAGATTTGGGAGGTTTTTAACTCTGTGGCTCCCTCTTTTCTAGGATCCCTCTTAATTTCTAACCACTCTGGCAGATTCAACCTTAGTCCTCTCACTCTTTGAGCCAGTAATAATTCGACTTTCTGCTTGAGCTGTATCTGCTTTTTGCCATTTGGACTGTGGGATGCTGGTAGAGGAAAAGCCAGATAAATGCATCTCATGCAGTATGGTTCCCTTCTTTCAAGGGTTAAGTGCCCTCATCCTTCTTCCTACTTTTGGTTGCTCTTTAGTGCTTTGTTTTCTTTAATATTTTGTCTGTAATTTATCATTGTCATCAGTAGGAAGGTGAGCTTGATACAAGGGAATCTCTCATCACTGGAAGCTGTTTCCTCTTTATCTCAAATAAAAGAATACATTGTGATAAAATATGCTAAGAAAGCTCCTTCTGTTTCTTTTTCTTTGGGCTCTTCATCATTTCTCCCATAAAACTGAAACAATATCCTATTGATTAAAAAATTATATTCATACTCCCCTTCTCATGAAATTATCCTCAGATAAGCAGAACTTTGTATAGGTTTGCTATTAATTGCTACAAAATTGGAAAATATTCCTCTCTAAAGTCACTGGAAATATTAATGTGCACATCGGTGAACAGCTCCATCTTTTTTGTTGTTGTTGTTGTTGTTTGTTTAACAGGCACTGATATACCACTTAACATGTGCCAGTTACTGGTCTAAACATTTTACATGTATTAACTCCTTTAATACTCATATCAACCCAACGAGGTAGATATGATGATTACCCCCTTTTTCAGATGAGGAAACTGAGGCATCACTAGGAAGTGATGGAGCAAGGATTTGAATCCAAGTGTCCTGGCTTTTTTAGAGTCTGTACACTTAATCACTGTACTCTGTGATGCCTTTCCCACTCTATGCTGTCTGTACTGATTTTGTTCTAGGTATGTACTTGTTATTATTTGTGAACTTTTCAAGTTTTTCAATTAGCATTATCTATCCTCCTGCTTTAAAAGGATAGATACCTTTAAGAACATACTGTATTACATATTAGTCTTACATAATATACATACAGGAACTCCCTATTGTGCCAGATACCCAGAAAAGGCTCAAACATAAATTCACTTATAAATCTCACCTATAAATCCTAGACAGTGTTAATCATTTTTTTCCCTATACTTTTACAACATAGTATTTACATTTCTGTTGAGTGGTTATTTCTTCTGCCTTGTATTGCAGCTAGCAGTTTATAGGCTTGACCTTCCTATTAGGTTGTAAGGTCATTGAAAGTGGAGGTCATGTCTTCATCATTTTTGTAGACATTCTACCCTGGCATCTAGTCCACATTGAATATAATGGACCATGTTATTCTAAAACTGTGATGGTAAAAATATACTTTTATTTGCTAGGTGAAGAATCTTTGCATATCCATATATGTATACATCTTGTTTAAAACGAGAATATCTTATATTTGTGTTTTACTTTCAACTTTCCAAAGTCCTTTCATATCTACTGTCTCTTTATCTTTATGGAAAGACTGTCATGAGCTCTCATTTATTCATTCATTCAGTAAATATTTTCTGAGAGCGGCTATGTACCAGGTACTATTTTAGTTTCTCAGGATATAGCAGTGAACAAAACAAAGTCCCGGCTTTCATGCAGATTTCATTCTTGTGAGAAGGTACAGATAAGCAAAAATATGTGTCAAGTGATGATAAAGAAAAATGATGTAGGATAAAGAGAGAGAATGCGATGGAAAGTGTGATCTGGAAAGACCTCTGTGAGGAACTGGTATTTGAATAGAGACCTGAATGAAGTTAAGGAGTAAACTTGCAAAATCTCTGGGGTTTAGGAGAGTTCCAGGAAGAGGGAGTAGCAAAGACAAAGGCCTTTAACTTGGGAAAAACAGTAAGAAAGGTACACTTAAACTGTGGGAGAAATGAGAGGGAAAGGCAGATTATGGAGGGCCTTGTAAGATGGGGTAAAGACTTTGTGTTTTATTCTAAGTATGATGGAAATCATTGGAACATTTCAAGTGGAGGGATAACATCTAAATTATGGTTAACAGGTTCAATCTAGATGCTGTGTAGAGAATAGGATGTATAGGAAGCAGGAGTAGAATCAGAGAGACCAATTATGAGGCTATCAAAGTAATCCAGGCCAGAGATGTTGGCTGCTGAAACTAGGATGGAGGCAGTGGAAGTGATAAGATGTGTTTAGATCTGGATATATTTGAAGTTAGAGCTAAGAACCAACAGAACCTGCTGAGGAATTTTTATAGGGTATGAGAAAAAGAAAGAAGTTGGAAATTATTCCCACATTTTTGGTCTGAGCAACATGGTGCACGTTAGTGCCATTTACTGAAATGGGAAATATTGACAGAAGGAGCAAGTTGAAACAGGATATATATCACTGCTGTCATTTTATATATGGGGAAACTGAGGTGTAGATAAAGAGTTTTGATAAGCTTTGGGCTAGAATCCTGGTTGTCTTATTGCTAGCCTCAGATATTTTTGAAATAAGTGTTTCAGTTATTTTTGTTATTAATTTTACTTGGATGATGATAAGTCATGTTCATTTAAAAATTCTTTGTAAAGAAGAGCCTGAGCAAGGATGTTTTAGGAGTCTTTGAAATTTTATGTTTTCCAGGGTGGTAATGGTCACAGAGCCTAGCACCTTGTAGATTATGGAGTACAGCTGACCCTTGAACAACATGGGTTTGAGCTGTGTGGGTCTACTTATATGCAGATGTTTTTCAGTAGTAAAGACTACAGTACTACACGATCTGAGGTTGGTTGAATCCACGGATGTGGAACTGAGGTTACAAAGGGCCAGCTATCAATTATGCATGGATTTTTTGACTGCACAGAGGGTTGGCATCCCTAACTCCACGTGTTCAAGGGTCAACAGTAATTATTTGCTAGATTAAACTGAAAGAAGATTCAATCTCATCTTCAACCTTGACATTATCATAAGGGCATGTATTTGTCTTTTAGTTAAGATAAATTGCATGAAGTGGAAATTGCAGTTTGTCTTTCAGAAAATAGTGGTTAAGACTAGGAATGATAAGATATAGGTTTGGACTTTAGGTCTGCCCCTTACTCTCTGCGTAACTTTCAGCAAATCACTCTACTGTTCTCAGCCTAACTTTTCCTATCTGTGATTTGGGAATAATACCTACTCATCTCTCATAATAACTGTGAAGATGAAAGAAGATCATGTATGCTTAACAGTGCTAGCACACACTGGCACATCAGGCATGCAATAAAAATTGTGGAGTCTTAAACCTCAATAAAGCTACAATGAAATATTTACAAAGTTGAGAGAAATTTGTAGTAGAGAGTTTGTGGGAAAATTCTATTCTTAAACACGTTTCTTTTTTCCCAAAATTATTATGTAAATTAACACACATGTTATAAAGAATCTATTACTGAAGATAAATATTCATGTTTACTTTACAGGTATTGGTTTGCCTTGAAAAAGGGTTATCATGTGGCTTTCAAGTACACCAGCAAAACGGATAACTTCGTGGAAGAACAAATCGATCCTCATAAAGAAGTTATAGATAGGGTGACAGATTTGAGCATGCTCAGACTATTTGAGACCTACCTGGAAGGCTGCCCACAACTTGCTCTTCAGCTCTACATCCTTCTGGAACATGGTCAAGAAAATTTCACGCAGTGTAGGTCTTTCTTAATAGCCTGTGTTAGATAGATGCCACTGATATTTTATGTTAACTGTGTAACTCTTTGGCAGATTTTAGAATTATTTTTATTGTTTTTCTTTTTAGAATTATTATTTTTTTTTGAAAAAGAAGTACATGGTTTAAAAGTACTTTGAGGTATATGAAGGTACACTGTCTCCCTCCCCCTTCTTCCTTTCCCTTCCTTTGCCCAGAAAACAAACTATTTTTTTTGAACATTTTATTTATTTTTTTTTATTTTTTAATAGATCTTTATTGGAGTATAATTGCTTCACAATACTGTGTTAGTTTCTGTTGTACAACAAAGTGAATCAGCCATATGCATACACATGTCCCCATATCCCCTCCCTCTTGAGCCTCCCTCCCATCCTCCCTATCCCACCCCCATAGGTCATCGCAAAGCACCCAGCTGATCTCCCTGTGCTATGCTGCTGCTTCCCACCAGCCAACTATTTTACATTCAGTAGTAAAACAAACTATTATTGTCAGCTTTCTGATGATTCTTTCAGAAAAAAAAATGTAAAAGCCTATCTTTCTCTTTCCTTCTCTCTCTCTCTCTCTTTTTTTTATAGAAATGGTAGCATAAAAACCATCTTTGTTTTTTGCACTTAACATATCTTAGAGATCTAAACATATCAGTACAGAAAGAGTGCCCTCATTTATTTTTCTTATCTGCATAGTATTACAAATTATGGATGTATCATGAACTATTTAACAGGCTCCCTCTTTATGTTAATTTAGGTTGTTTCTAATATTTTACTGTTGCAAAAAAGCTGCAGTGAATAGTCTTATGCATGCATTCTTTTGCATGTTTGAAGTTTAGCCATAGGGTAAATTCCCAGAATCGCAATCATTGGGTGAAAGTGCAAGTGCTACAAAACTAATGAAAGTTTTGCAAATTGGTTGATATGTTGCTATTTTATAGCAGATTTCCTCATTAGGGTTAAATGTACATTTTTAAAGGACAATTTGGCATTTCCATTAAGAAAATCTTTTAATAGGTGTTTAATTTGAGATGTTAAAAGAACTATTTATTTGCTAAAAATAGTCCCAGTTTTCATTAGTGACTAGGATTCCATGCAGACTTGGATTCACCTCAGAGTAACAGATTGTCCTCTCCCCTGGAGTTCCCTCTATGCTAGACTCACCTGTGAGAACACTTCATTTCCCCAAACAGTCTTCTTGGTCCCAGTTTCCCACAAACCTCTAGATTGTAGTCCCTTCTAATATTTTTACCTTTACTTTGATTGTTAGTGCACCACTGAAATGAACCTACTGTGTATGAGACCTCTTTTTCCTTGTGATGCAAAGAATTTGTGGGTTGGGATTTATTAGTCCCTGAAGCTAAAGTTCAGCATATAGAGCTTACAACCTGTATTATGGTAGATCTACTGATGTTAACTGTGGCTGCTTCTGTGTGGTGGGATTGTGAATGATTTTATCTATTTCATCTTCCTTGTACTTTTCTGAATTTCCAAATTTTCTACAGTAACCATGTATTGTTTTGATAATCAGGAAGAATAATTCAAAATGTAAAAAAAAGTCAGTTTATATATTGAACTACTTCAGAAGACTGAACAAATTCTTTTATCTTTGTTCCTTCTGAAATCATGCTAAAGAGGAGAGTAACAAGTAGAAACAGTATAAACCCATAAGGACAAAGAGAATGCAGAGTAGAATAGCAGATTAGAAATGTCAACAAATATTTAGAAGATGGAAAGCAGATAGAAAACTTGGGTTATTCAAATCAGTTCCACCACCACTAAAAGGCTAGATTATTTGAATCAACTCTCCCCCTGAAATTATCTAAAACAATTGGTTAAGTATTTTCAAAAGTCTTCATAAAAGCTTAAAACAATCTGATACAGCAGGCCAAAATATGCATGAAAGTGGGAATGCAGCAGGGCTGAGTAGGACTGTGAAGGCTTTATACCCTGAGGGTTTTTACGGAACCTTATTAACAAGCAGATTCAGTTTTGATGGCTTCCCAGGGTGTGGAGGACTGGAGACAAAACTCAGGGTCTTCACAAGGGAGGGACATCTGATAGAAAATCCTGATCCATAAACCTGGCACTCCAAAAGTCACCCTCCTCAGGGTAAAAGTGAAGTCACCTACCTCTAAATGAAACTTGACTGCATAAACAGAAATAATACTATGTGGCTAAGAAAAAGATAGAATGAAGACAAGCAGTAGCATGAAAGTCAGGTGGAAGATGGATGGGGTTAAACTGTTTTAAATTCCTTGTATAGTTCAGGAGAAAGGTAAAGCAAAAGTGGATCCGCGTGTAAAACAAAAACAATTAGAGAGACCCTATTTTTGAAAAGAAGAATGTAATCTTAGGAAAACAGAATTATTTTAGTGTGCTTGGGCTGCCGTTAACAGAATACTATAGACTGGGCAGCTTAACCAACAGAAATATATTTTCTTACAGTTCTGGAGACTAGAAATCCAAAATCAAGGTGCCAGTAGGGTCGGTTTCTGGTGAGGACTCTCTTTGGGTTGCAGATGGCCACCTTCTTGCTGTGTCCTCACATGTCTTTCCTCTGTGTATGGAGAGAAAGAGAGATCTCTGGTATCTCTTTCTATTCTTACAAGGATACCGGTCCTATTAGATTTGGGCCCCACCTTTACAAACTTGCTTAACCTTAATTATCTCCCTAAAGGCCCTATCTCAAAGTATAGTCACATTGGGGGTTAGGGCTTTAACATATGAATTTTGGAAGAATACAGTTCAATTCATAAAAGACATGAAAGTAAGCATTTTTTAAAAAATAAAATAAAGAACAGTAAATTACAGGGATAAGAAAGCTGACCAATACCACAAATTTCACAAGAGAAAGAAAAGTAATGTATTTTTATTATTTTAATACTCTTTTATCTAATTTTTTTGGCTGTGTACTCTGATTGGCTTTTGATTTGATAATGATTTTATGATACAATTTCCACAGAGAGAAAAGAAAAATTCAGTCTTTTTTTCTAGCATAGTTAATAGAAATTAGTTTTTTGTTTATTTTTAATTTAGAGAAGTTTCAAGTTCACAAAGTATTGATAATATTATAAGTATATTTTTTGATTGTTCTCACATTTGGGGACAACTCTACCAATGTCGTCAATAATGTGGTATAAGATCAGAGTATATCAAGATTTTTTTTGATGAAGTAACTAATTTTAAATACTGTTTGAATTGACAACACTTGTTTATTGTCAATGTCTCCTTTAGTGAATAGTGGGAGTCTTTTGTTTTCTTTACTGGTGTCAATAATGTCAAATCAGAAGAAATTAATAAGAATCTGTATAGATGTGATTGGGCAAGGTCATTTCATATCGGGAGAAATGCATAAGCAAAGGCGTGGTTTGGCAAAGACAAGGAATTCCTTTTGGATAGAGTGTAATGTACAGATTAGATTAGCAAAATGAGTAAAAATATTGGAAACAGGTAGGTAAGTGGGAAATGGGAAATAATGTCAAACTAATAGTGCCAACTGGATGAGGAGGATAGACCATCATGCCTTAATATTAAGGAATCAAAGGCCTGTTGACAGCAAGATAGTGAAGTGTTAAGATCAGGCAAACTGCTTGAGAATCCTAGATCTGTTACTTATTAATCATAATTATTCAAGCAAATCTTGTAAACATATCCCCCTAAACCTAAACTATTCTCAACTCAATTTCCCTTTAGCCAGATCCCCAAAATGACCACAGCTTGCTTCAATACACCTAGGGAAAATGTGAGAGAGGAAAAGTAAGAGACAGGGAATTTTAGCAACTGCAATGAAAATACCTTATTTTTTCCAAATTTTATAAAATATATATGACAAAGTGAACACATCGCCAGGGCTTTGCCAGGCTTGGAAGGAGTCTGGACAAGTGTAGGTCCCTGAAATTTAAGCTTCACTACCTTCATGATAAATCTACCTGTGAGGTAAAAATACTGATTAAACTTTGATATGTTTAATATGCATGTTGTGATTTCTAGGGAAGCCATCAAAGAATAAAAACAGCATATCTCTGAAGGATGTGGGTTACTAGATTGAAAGGTTGATAAAAACGGCCCATACCAAGCCCATCATTATAACATTTCAGAGACGCAAAGATGAAGATAAGATTCTAGAAGATTTGAGAGAAAATAAAGATCATTTAAGGATAGGGAAATTGAATGGCTTTGAAATTCTTAACCATAACACTTGAGATTAGAATTTAATAGATCAATGACTTCAAAGTTTCAATGGAAAACATTTTTAAACTTTGAATTCTATTTCTGTTGAAACTGTGTATCAAACATGAGGGTAGAATAAAGACATTTTGAGACATACATGGTCTCAAAAGTTTAGCTTAGGTACAACTTTTCTCAGGAATGTCTGGAGAATGCTTGATCAAACCATGAGAACGAAGCAAGAAGGAAATATTGGAACAGGAAACAGGAAGTCAGCACTGAAGAGAGGTGAAGGGAAGTTCTGGGAAGACAGGAAGCAAACCTTGACAGCAACCACCTTTAAGCAGAAGGATCATATTCTTAAAAAACAAAAAACAAACATAAAAACCCTAATAGATGTATATAGGGGAGTTTAATTAATTAATTTGAAGAATTTGCTGAGAAATACTGATAAGAGTCATGAAAAACTAAGCAAAGTAAGTAACAATGAAAAGTTTTAAAAGAAAGGAAATATTATCAGAATGTAGTACTTGGCTGAGCAGTCAAAGAGGCTGTACTTATGTAGTCATAATAAGGTAAACACTGAATATTGATTTTACCAAAAATTGTGATGTTACTCTTCTGGGTAGAAGGAGGGAGAGGAAAATGGAAGGAGGGTGTGTATATATGTGTGCCTGTGCAAAAATTTCCCCTTCCCACGTAGGAAATTAATAATCAGTGTCTAAAGTAGATAAATTAAGAAATAGCACAGTATGTGTTTTATTTAGAAATATGGCAATACATGTCAGAAGTAAAGGTAGGAGAGTTGATAGTAATTTTTTCTGAGGGTCATGGCTAAGAGGTGAGAAGGGGTGGAGCAGTCTACTGCTATTTTCTTATAAGTTCTTTAGCACTTACCAACTTTTAAAAACAATGTATATGTACTGGTTTGGTAGAAATTAAAACCAATTATAAAAAAGATATCACAGGGAAATTTAGGGGAAAGTGATGTTTTAATTCTTCTTTAATTTGAATTAAAGAAGAAAGAAAAGAAGCCCAACTAATTGTGCAGTTCAGAGTGGTATATGCTAAAACCAGGAGAGTTGACAAAGACATTTATAATCGTCTTCACTAGAGGATCTATCTTAAGTCTGCCTTCCTATCCTAATATACAGCCCTCCAGTGAGGCTAAATGGGAATAATGAGCATTCTCTGTTTTACTCCACATTATTTCCTTCTAATTCTCTAATATCTTTGCTTTCAGTTTTATAAGTCCCCAGCTTTGAGTTCACATCCTTCTACTCTACCATCTTGAGCTAATCTCAGTCTCCAGCTTTGAGAGTGGGGCTAATGACATGCCTTTCCAAAGTAGTAATGAACTTACTTTTCTGTTATTTGTTGGGGAAAAAAATGGGATAAAGGTGCCAAGCCTACAGAAATTAGTAAGTTTTAGATTGTGTTTGTTCATTTGATCCATCATCTTAAAGATATGGGAAATTGAGCTGTTGATACCTCATACTTACGTTAAATTTTCTGTTTAACCTCTCTCCCTCCCTTTCTTCCTACCCTCTTCTCTCTCATGATGTCATTTCCTAGTGAATTAGGTATATGCCCAAGGTCAAAGCCAAAAAGACTGGAAAAGCTAGGACTAAAACTGTAGTCTCTTAGAGAACTTCCAGAGTATGCAGTTTCCATTGTACCAGTTGCTCAGTAAAATTTGTCCAGTGAATTTATTTACAGTCTTATAAAGCAGTCTAATGTAGTGGTTAAGCACACCAACTTTGGAATCAGGCAGATTTCAGTTCAAATCTCATGTCTCTGAAACTTGCTGGCTGTGTGACTTGGGTCAAGAAATGTATATATATTCTCTAAGCATTAATTCCCTCATATGTAATACAGGAATATTAATATCTATTTCAAAGGATTAAATGAGATGAGTATATAAAGTACCTGATGTGTTTATGGGTGTGTATATACAGATGAAGCATGTATGGCATATAGTAATTTAATATTGCTATTATTATTCCTATAACTATATCTTTAAAAAAATTTTGTTTTGTAGATGCAGCCATCATGGTCTCTTGCTGTGCTATTTCTTGGTCGACTGTTGATTATCAAGTAGCTTTAAGAAAATCCTTACCTGATAAAAACCTCCTTAATGGACCCTGTCCTAAACTCGTATATCTCTTTTACAAGTTGTTTACATTATTATCTTGGATGTTGAGTGTTGTGCTTCTTTTATTCTTAAATGTTAAGATTGCTTTACTCCTGTTGTTATTTCTTTGGTTTTTAGGTATATTGTGGGCATTTAAAGAACAAACTGATTTTTGTGCTTCCATAAGTATGGAATTCATATACAGGATTGTTGTTGGATTCATTCTTGTCTTTACATTTTTTAATATTAAGGGACAGAATACCAGATGTCCAATGTCTTGTTATTATATTGTAAGGGTATTGGCCACATTGGGGATATTGATTGTGTTCTGGTCTTACCCACTCTCTATTTTTAATTCAGACTATTTTATACCTGTCAGCATCACTATAGCTCTTACTCTGCTCCTTGGAATTATTTTTCTTATTGTTTATTATGGGACTTTACACCCAAACAGAAGTGAAGAAACAAAACTGGATGAGGTTGATGGAAAACCAGTTCAAAGAGATTGTAGAATGAAGTATTTCCTAATGGAATAAGGTATTCACTTAAGAGATATGTTTTCTTATTTTTTGTTTCATTGGTTAGTAAAGAAAAAGTTTGTGTATATGTGTGTTATGTCTTATTTTGTGCCTTCTCTAATTTGAGGGCAGTTCTAGTGCATTAATTATGAATGTTAGAGAGTATAATAATGTTCTTATTATCTAAGTTAATTTCTCAGTTGGTTTTGAAGATCTTGGGTACTTAGATATATTTGCCTATGGCCTGGTAGAGTTGCCATCTTGAGCCTGAACTGAAAGAAATGGTCTCATTCCCATAATTAGAAGGCTGGAATTGAACTTCCCTCCAACTTTTCCCTCATTGTTTCTGAGCTAAAACTGATGTACTCGTAGTGGGGAAATAAAAGGAAGAGAAGAGCAGGATACTCATTCTTCTTTCCTCTATTTTCTTGATTCAGTGAATATATTTTGAGTTGGGGACAGATTGAGTAGAGGAAAAGGGAAAGGAGGGAAGAGGAAGAAAAAACAGAAAATTGACCGTTTTAACCCATCTTAACCATTTTTTTTTTTTTTTTTTTTTTTGGGTTGCTTCTACCTCTTGGCTTTTGTGAATAATGCTATAATGAACATGGATTTGCAAATGTTTCTCCAACAACCTGCATTCAGCTCTTTGGAATATATACCCAGAAGTGGGATTGGTGGATCATATGGTTTTCCTATTTTTAATCCTTTGAGGAATCTCCATACCGTTTTAGTATAATGTCTGCACCATTTTACAATCCCACTAACAGTGCACAAAGATGACAATTTCTCCACAGCCTCACCATCACTTATTTTCTGTTGTTGTTTTTTGTTTTTGTGGCGATAGTGGCTATCCTAATGGGTATGAAGTGATACCTCATTGTAGTTTTGAATTGCATTTCTCTAATTATTAGTGATATTGAGCAACTTTTCATATACCTGTTAGCCATTTGTGTATCTTCCTTGGGGAAATGTCTATATTTGATAAGGGGTTAATATCCAGAATATAGAAATAACTGCAACTCAACAACAAACACCCAAAAACTTGACTAAAAAATGGGGAAACCACTTGAAGTAACCAAATCATATTTAAATAGTTTTCTGTATTATTCCTTCTAGTAAGAACTAAATTTTGGTCCTAGGAGTAATACATAAACCAGTTGGGTTAGGGTGAACTCCTGGAAATAATGACACATTTTCCATCGAATTATCCTTTCTTTTTCAGTTCTTTACCCTTTCTTTTCCTTGGGTCAGCTCTTAATGAGTGAGTCCCCAAACAATAGCCTTCTCCATCACCAAGATAAAAAAATGTCCGTTTCTATATTTAGTCTTGTAACAATAGAAAATTGCTGTGTAGCTTTTGGGAAGAAGGGTTCAACTACCAAAGCTATTAGAAAATAATAAGTATGTTAAGCATTAACTCTGTGCCTAGCATTCTGTTAGGTACTGTTGTGGATACAAAACACATGTAGAATAGAGTTATGTTCCTTGAGAAGGTTACGTACTGAGCATTTATAGAAACTGACTTTCTGAATGTTTACTGTTTTCAATTTTGATTTTACAGTAAATGAAACAAATAAATACTGAATAACAGAAGTGGTTATATTTATATACCTACATAGAGTATATAAAACTCAATCAGATGTCCCCTGCACTACTCTTTGAGAAAGGTAGGCAATGTGGAAGAACCATTTATTCTTGCAGGAGCTAGAGAATCTAGAGTTTACTTTGGGCACATGATCTTTGTATGTGTGAACCCCACTTACTGTATTTCTCCCTCTCTCTGCATGTTTTAGTGTGTATGTATACATGTATATTTGAGACAGTGAAGATGGGAAAAGTTAGGCTCATTTAGCAGCACTTGAGTCAGAACCTTTGAGTCATAAAAGACCAAAAGACTTTGAGTCATAAAATGAAAGTGCTCTGGGCTTCCCTGGTGGCGCAGTGGTTGAGAGTCTGCCTGCCAATGCAGGGGACACGGGTTCGTCCCCCCGTCCGGGAAGATACCACATGCCTTGGAGAGGCTAGGCCCGAGAGCCATGGCCGCTGAGCCTGCGCATCTGGAGCCTGTGTTCCGCAAAGGGAGAGGCCACAACAGTGAGACGCCCGCATACAGAAAGAAAGTGCTCTTTATTCCTTCCTAAAGATTTAGATGTCCATGTGTTATTTCCCTTCAGCCATGAGAAATTCTTTTAGCATTTTCTGTTTAGGTTTGTTGATGATGAATTCTTTTTTCTTTTTCCTTTATCTGAACATGTCTTTATTTCTCCTTCATTCTTACAGGATTATTTTTGCTGGATATAGGGTTCTGGGTTGATAGCACTTTTTTCCTTTAAGCATTTAAAAAAATACATTTATTTATTTTATTTATTTTTGGCTGTGTTGGGTCTTTGTTGCTGCACACAGGCTTTCTCTGGTTGCAGTGAGCGGGGGCTACTCTTTGTTGTGGTGTGCGGACTTCTCATTGCAGTGACTTCTCTTGTTGTGGAGCACAGGCTCTAGGCAGGCTTCAGTAGTTGTGGCACACAGGCTCAGTAGTTGTGGCTTACGGGCTCTAGAGCGCAGGCTCAGTAGTTGTGGCACATGGGATTAGTTGCTCCGCAGCGTGTGGGATCTTCCCGGACCAGGGCTCAAACCTGTGTCCCCTGCGTTGGCAGGTGGATTCTTAACCACTGTGCCACCAGGGAAGCCCCTTTTCCTTTAAGCATTTTAAAGAAATTCAACTAATTTCTAGTATTCATTGTTTTTGTTGAGAAGTTATTAATAATTCAAATCATTGTCTCTCGATATGTAATTTGTTATTTTTCTCTGGCTGTTTTGAGAGCTTACCTTTAGTTTTTGGTTTGCAGTAGTTTCACTACTATGTTTATGGGTATAGCTTGTATTTATCCTACTTGGGGTTCTCTGAGATTCTTGAAGCTGTACATTTTACCATATTTAATGTTTCTGGTATTCTTCACATATTCTTTCTATCACTTTATCTCTGTTCTTGGACTTCACTAACACGTGGTAGACCTACTGATATTATCCCATAGACCCCGAAGGCTCTGTTCATTTTTTTCCAATTTATTTTCTCAGTCCTTCATATTAGATTTGTCTTCAAGTTCACTGACTTTTTCATTCATTCATTTAATCTGTTAAGCTCATCTGATGAATTTTTAAAAAAAAATTCAGATATTTTTATGTTGTAGAATTTTCATTTGGTTCTTTTTTATGGCTTCTATTTCTCTGCTAAGATTTTATATTTTTCCTCATTAAGAGCATGTTTTCCTTTATATCTTTGACAATACTTATAATAGATGCTTAAAATCCTTGTGTGTTGATTCCAATATCTGGGTCATCTCAGGATTGGTCTCCATTAATCACCTTTTCTCTTGAGTATGGGTTACATTTTCCTGTTCCCTCATATGTCCACTAATTTTGAATTGTGTCCTGGATGCTATGAGTGATGCACTTTAAATCCTCTCGATTGTTTGTTTTTTAGAGGAGTGTTTTTTTTTTTTAGCAGGCATTTAACTTGAACTTTAAACTCTGAACTCTAAACAACCTTTATTTGTTTAACCTTCAGTGTACTACTTGGAGCCTACTCCTCATGTATATATAGTTCAGAGTCAGTCAGAGATTGGGGAAGAGTTAATGTATGGAATGAGGCTGTCTGTATTGGCTGTCTCCTTTCTAGGATTTTCACCATCACTTTTCAGTTGCTGTGGTCACTCCATACTCTGTCCTTTGGGACTTTAAACCATTAAGACTGCAGCTTTTCTATCTGGGTTTGTGTACACAGTGTACTGACTGGGGTCTGTCTTCACTCAGTGCCATTCCTTCTCCCCAATGTTGACCACTTTCCAATGTCTGCCTGCTTTTTTGCTGCCAAGTGTTTTCAGGTAGTTTTTTTCATATTTTGTCCAGAGTTTACAGTGGTTGTTTGTGAGAGCGTTTAAACAGTGGGAGTTATACCCATCTTTTTTATTAATCAGTAACATTTTCAGCAATCTTTCTGTAATGTTTGTATTCTTTCTGTGATATTTGCTTAAAATGATGTGTAAATTCCTTTTGTTTAACATTTAATCCTCTCATATCCTTACTTATTTGACCCTCACAAAAAACTGGGCAATATAGTTATTATTATTATCACTACCCTTTAGCTGGGAAAAGCAAGCCTCAAAGAATTTAAGTAACTCACCAAAGTTCACGCAGATCAAATCTCATAACTTTTGACGTCAAGTCTAGTTTACTTTCATTCTGTTCTTTATCTGATAAATAGATGAACTGACCATCAGCAGCCTAGAGCTGTACTAAATTAAACATGATTTTAAAACTATTATTAAATTACTTATTTGCCCACAAAACAATTTTTTAAAAGTCTGGCCCCAATATTTTTTGGCCTTAGTTCAGCATGGGGCTGAGGTTGTGTCACTGATAGTTTGAATAATTCAACTAACAATATATGTAATGGAAGTAGCAATTTATGTAATGGAAAAATGGGTAGAAAATAATATACATCTACTAAAGAGTCTGAATATTAAATGCCCCATCCAAACCTGGCTTGAATATTCATTCCATTCAACAAACATTTTTCTATTGATTTTATATCAAAGAAACAAATGGATGGATCCTGGATCCTGGTCAGATGTTTTGGCTAGTTAGCAAGCTCTTAAAGTGAACATTTAATGTCGAATTAATTTAACTTTATTCATTTTATCCTATTTTCTGTATCATTCAGTTATAGATTTATAGCACTTTTAAATCCCCCACCAACTGTCAGCTTTTTCTAGATTATTCTGCACATATGAAGGGCCCTTGAAGATTTAGAAAAAGCATAGGAATAATTATGAGCAATAGTCTCATAAAAGAGCACTCATATGCACTGCCCTAGTCAGGGTTCTCCAGAGAAACAGAACCAATAGGATATATATGGATACCTGTAAGAGGGGATTTATCATAATAAGTAGCTCACGTTGTTATGGAGGCTGAAAAGCCCCACCGTCTGCTGTCTGCAAGCTGGAGAACCATGAAAGCCTGTGGTGTAATTCTGTCCAAGTCTGAAGGCCTAAGAATCACGGGGCTAATGATGTAAATAGTGATCTGACTCCAAAAGCTTGAGAACCAGGAGAACCAATGTCTGAGGACAAGCGAAGATAGATGTTGTAGTTTGAGCAGAGAGAGCGAATTTGCCCTTCTTCTGACTTTTTGTTCTATTTAGGCCCTCAGCAGATTGGATGACACCCACGCACACTGGGCAAGGCATTTGCTTTACTCAGTTCACCAAATC